TGTGGATTCAATGTCATGGGAGACTGTTAACATCAGATAGGTTAACTAGATGGGGAATTCAAGTAAGTCCAAAATATAGCTTATGTAATAGTGCAGATAAATCACATCTGCATCTATTTGGTGAATGCAGCTTTTCCAAAACAGTATGGTGGAGACTACTAAGAAGGTTGCAAATGTATGATGCTCCAGTAAACTCCTGGACATAGACGGTTGCATCAGTACAAGCTAAAGGGAAGTCGTGTAAAGCTAGAACAGTGAAAACGATCTATGCTTAGTACATTAATGGGATATGGAAAGAGAGGAACAGTAGAATCCTTGAAAAGAAAGCAAGAAATACAATCCAAATAGCTAGAGAGGTGGCCTGTATTTGTAACATTAGAGCACGAGGGTTAGTGAGAGCAAGGATGCAACAACTTAGATTTTGAAGATAAATTAGCAACTGTCCAGCAAATACTTGTATAATGTCCATTATGTTCTGCTTATAGTATAGGTATAGTGATAGATGTATGTAAAGAACTAAGCAAGTCGAGGATGACTCTGCTGTTTTGTAATGACTTCTATGGTGATTAATGAAAAATATAATTACCAAAAAAAAGGTATACATGGATATACATATGATACAAATATGATACATATGTGATACACAAATGATATACAGTGTGATACAAATATCATTTTTTCATGTTTCATCTTCTACTTCAAATTTTCAATTCAAACCAGCTCAAAACTCCACCAAATCATCCCAAAATTGAGATTCAAACTCTTTAGGATGTACTCAATCTATTCTAATAACACTCACTCAAAAGAAAAGTAAAAATTCGACCTTTTTTTGGCTACAAATAGATAATTGGCTAATATTAATAATATTTTATGAATTGACCAAGTTTTATAATAAGTTTCTTATAAATGGACATAACTGAATAATTTTCCAAAATAATATCAAGTATACTTGTTCATATACCTAGCGAAATCAGAACTTGGTGCTACAATAAGAGAAGTGTAACTATATTAACTAACAATGGTTTTGGTCCCAGTTTAATATAGGAGTCACTAATACTGTAATATTCAATAAGTAGCCAGCATAAACAACTTAAAAAATTGCTCCTTAACATATACTAGTAAATTCTTGCTTTGCTTCATTATTTGGAGATAAGCATCTTCTTTTTCTCCTTCCCTCCAAAACAATACCAAAGAAAAATAGCCTAAACATTGCTGTGTGGCATGCCATCTTTGTGGAGTAGAAACCTTCATATCTATAACTGGAAATATCACCTTCGACTCCAAAATTGTAGGGTCATATCTATATACTTATTCATTATTGGATGTGCCTAGGTCTTCACCTGTATTGTTTGACGGCAACCTGAGTTTTCTCAGCCACCAAAGGGCCATCTTCATGATCTACCAACTTTGTTTCCCATCTCATACCCTGCTGTGATTTTTCTGACCTTATACAAGACTTTAACTCCTTTGCGGAGGATGACCAACCCTTAAGGTCGAACAGCATGGTCCATTTCTAGGAGTATGTCTTCAAATTCACACGTGTTGGTGGCCTAAAACAAAAGTATAATAATTACATAAATTATACTATGATGAGATCTTCCTCTCTCTATGACTAAGATTATCTCTCAGTGAAAACTGACATGGCGAGAAAATCAAGGAATAGAGGTGGAGGTCAGAAAATCCATGGGAGTCAGACCTCAAATTCAGCATACATAGGAGTTCCACAGAAAGAGGATGCTAAAAAAGTGAAGAGTATCAATTCAATACAAGGAATTGTGCCGCTGGATATCAATTTGATATCAAAACCAACAACACCACAAGGAGATGGAGATTCAGAGGTGAGTAGGAAATCATGGGAAGATCGAACAGAAGAGGAAGAGAAGATGAACAATAATACAGGTTCGACTAAAATAAATGTTTGGAGTAATGTTGTAGGTAAAATACCAGTAGAGGAATGAATTGACCTAACAATGGAGAAAAGTGAAACGAATGTGAAAATAACAATGGTGGACATTAAGGATGAGGTAGAATATTGGTTGACAACAGTAGTATGCTATGTATTGGGTTCAAATCCACCACAAGTAGTAATTGATGGTTATTTTAGAAGAATTTGGGGAGGATTACGGATTGATAAGGTAGCTCAACTAAACATGGGAGTTTTCATGGTTTGATTTCACAGTATAGAAAGCAGGAATAAGGTGGTAGAAGAAGGAGTGCAGTTGTTTGACAGAAAACCAGTGATAGTTAAGCCATGGAAGTCTGATATGGAAATTACTAAGGAACAGATGGAAAACATTCCAATATGGGTGAGAATGGTGGGGCTTGATGTCAAATACTGGGGGCAAACATCACTTGCAAAAATTGTTGGGCTGATAGGAAAACCATTGAGAGCAGATGCTGCAACTACTAAGAGAGAAAGGCTAACATATGCAAGAGTGTTAGTTGAAGTGAAATTGAAACAGCAGTATCCAACAAGTATTAGGTTTGAAAATGAGGCAGGAAAGATAGTGGAACAGAAAATTCATTATGAATGGAAACCAGTTATGTGCGAAAAATGCAGAAATTATGGTCATGAATTGAAATGAATGTCGAAAATTTATAAAGGAGGAAAAGGAGAAGAATGAGAAGAAACAAGAGTTAGAAATGCAGAAAAAATTAGAGCAACAAAATGCAGGAGAAGGAACACAGCAAGGGCAAACACAATTAGAGAAAGAGGAACAACAAATACAGAAACAACAGGGAGGTTATGAATAAATGGAGAGGGGAAAGTACTATAAACAAGGGTATAGAACTGGGAATATGTAAGAAGAGGGATGATAATACCAGAAGAGCCATTGAAAATAGGAAATACATTTACAATATTAGGGAAGCAACAAAGCTTAGAGGAGGCAAGTACCAGTCAGACAGTAATGAAGTTAAATGTAAAGGGAAGTGGTGATGAAAGAAAAAATGGAATAATAGGGGAGAAGGGTGGGGGAGATCTCCCAAAGAATGGATAGAATTGGGTTTTGGAATACCAGAGGACTGAATAATCTTGACAAACAGAAGGAAATGTATATGTTTATGAACAATTCTCAGGTTGGGATGTTTGGTCCTTGGAAACAAAGGTCAAGAGAGCTTAAGCTCAAAAAACTGCTCTTAGTCTGTGTAGTGGTTGGTCTTACAGTACTAACTTGTGTAAACATAAAGGGGGGAGAATATGGGTGTTATGGAAGCCAATGATATTTGATGTTAACATAATAAGTATCACAGAACATCTAATTCATCATAAAGTACAACATAGGGGTAATAGAATGGTCTTTGCAGTAACTATAGTGTATGGTTTTAATGATGCAACATTAAGGAAGAGCTTGTGGGAAGAAATCAAGAAGATTAATGAACAAATGAGGGGACCATGGGCTGTAATGGGTGATTTCAATTGTGTACTAAATAGAAGATAGAGTGGGGAGTCAAGTGAGAATGTTAGAGATAAGGGATTTTAAGAATTGTGTAGAGGAATGTGAACTACAAGAGATGAAATCTTCAGGGGCATTTTATACATGAAACAATAAACAAAGAGGTGAAGATAGAGTATGCAGCAGGATAGATAGAGTGCTCATAAATACAGAATGGATAATTAAATTGCCTGATTCAGAGGTGCATTATAGGAATGAAGGTACATATGATCACTGTCCAGCAGTAGTCAGGTGGGCAGAGAATAAAAAAAGGAAACAAGTATTTAGATATTTCAATATGTGGAGTTTGGAACCAAAGTTTAAAGAAATAGTTGCACAAGGGTGGAGAACAAAAAAAAAAGGGACAAAAATGTATGAGTTGGTGGGGAAGCTGAATAATTTGAAAGGAATGCTAAAGCAGCTTAATAGGGAGAAATTCAGTCAAATAGAAAGGAAGGCAGAAGAAACACAAGAAGAGCTGCTAAAGTGTCAAAATAGAATGCAAATAGACCCTTCGAACCAGAATATACAAGAGGAGGAAGCAAAGTTACTAAGGAAGAATAAAAGATTAAATAAAGCAAAGCACCAATTCTTGAGGCAGAGAAGTAAAGTGATGTGGATAGAAAAAGGAGACTTGAATACAAAGTACTTTCACAGTATAATGAAGAAAAGAAGGAACATGAATAGAATTTTTTCTATAACAGATGATCAGGGAGTGAATAGAATAGATTTGGATGAAATAAGGAAGGCTTTCATAGAATTTTACACAAAACTGCTATGAACCACTAATATGGAAAGGGAGCATGTTAACAGTAGTTTGATTCAACAAGGACCAGTAGTAACTGCATCACAAAGGAAGATGTTAGAGGAGCAGTTTACAGAGAAAGAGGTGAAGGAAACTGTATGGGCAATAAATGGAGATAAATCACCAGGGCCAGATGGATATGGAAACAAAATTTTCAAGGATAGCTGGGAGATAGTGGGTAAAGATGTAATAGAGGCAGTAATGGAGTTCTTTAGAAAAGGAGAGATCTTAAAATGTGAAATCAAACAGGGATAATAGTGATACCAAAGGGAAATCATGCTTCAAGTGTGGGGGATTATAGACCAATAGCAGGATGTAACACTATATACAAAGTGGTGTCAAAGATGTTATGTAACAGATTAAGACTAATATTGCCTACAATCATATCAGAGAATCAAAGTGCATTCATTGCAGGAAGGACAATAGTGCAAAATGTGTTGATTTGTCAGGACTTGGTCAGGCTTTACAAAAGGAAAAATACTACTCAGAGTTGCTTAATTAAGATAGATTTGAAAAAGGCTTATGACAATGTGGACTGGGCATTTGTAGAAGAGATGTTGCATGCAATGAACTTCCCTCAGAAGTTCATCAAATGGATCATGGCTTGTATAACAACCACACAGTACAGTGTAGCAATAAATGGGGAATTATATGGGAATATAACAGGGAAAAGAGGCTTATGACAGGGTGATCCCATTTCACCCTTGATCTTTGTCATATGCATGGAATACTTAACTAGAATTTTAAATAAAGTGGCTGGGATGAAGGAGTTTGAATTTCACACAAAATGCAAAGGAATGAAGCTTAATCATCTTTGTTTTGCTGATGACCTACTGCTGTTTTATAAAGGTAACTATCAGTCAGCAATGTTGATGCTAAGGGGTCTACAAGCTTTCTCAAATGCTTCAGGATTGACAACAAATGCAGGCAAGTCAAACATATTTAGTGCAAATACGGTAAAGCAAGAGTTGGAAGACTTGTGTGAGACTACTGGGTACAAGAAAGGAGCATTACCATTTAGGTATTTGGGGGTTCCATTTGCAGCAACAAAGTTATCTGCTATGGATTGTGAGGTACTAATTGATAAAATGACAAGTAGAACTAAAACCTGGAGCTCGAGGAGTCTGTCATAAATCTTTCTACTTCCAAAATTGGTGCTGAAAAAAGTGACTGCAATATGCAGGAACTATATTTGGGATGGGAAAGAGCACACCAATAAAGTACCATTGGTGGCTTGGGATATAGTATGTCGACCAAAACACAAAGGAGGTTTAGGGGTAAGGGATTGTGTAGTATGGAATGAGGCTGCCATTGATAAATATGTATAGAATATTGCTCAAAAGGCTGACAACTTATGGGTCAAATGGGTGGATCATGTATATATGAAAGGAGTTCAATGGAAGCAGTATAAGCCACTAGTAGAATGTAGCTGGTACTGGAGAAGAATATGCAGTATAAAAGATAAAGTAAAAGATGGATATAAGGGGAATGATTGGCAAAAGGGAGGGGGAAAATACACAATACAAGAAGGATACAAATGGATGAAAGGGGAGATGGAAGACTGGCCGTGGGCTAGATGGATATGGAGTAATGTAAACATCCCTAAACATAGCATAATATGCTGGTTAGCAGTTCGACAGAGACTGCTGACAAGAGAAAGACTAGAAAAGGTAGGTGTATGCACAGAGACAAGATGTGAAATATGTGGAGAAAGCAAGGAAACAATACAACACCTCTTCTTTGAATGCAAGTTTTCGAATGAATGTTTGAAGCTGCTGTTGAAATGGTTAGGCAAGGGAATTCAAGAACCAGATATCGAAAATGTATGGAAGAAATTGACGAGGAATGTGAAAGGTAAAATGAGCAGAAAGTTTATTACAGCAACAATATCGGCACTGATATACAAAATACGGATGGTTCGAAATAAGGCAGTATGGAACAATAAGGTGATGCATCCAGAGTTGATATGCAAGCAGATCAAGCAGGAATGCAAAATCAAATTGAAGATGCAGAATATAAGGAAAGAAGGCAGAAACAGTAGGAACTGGCTAGAACAATTGTATGTAACAGATTAGCTAGAGATGATATAGAACAGGAAGGAAGATAGAGTATTTTGCGACTAGAAGATTTCTTCTAGTTTGTACAGTTTTTTACAGAAAATGTGTACTGGTGTTTGAGAGATTAATAAAAATTTTCTTTACACAAAAATAAATAAATAAATTACACTATGTTTTATATAATAATATAGTACTACTACGGATATTTGGGGCCTCTATTTGTGGGCCTAAGGCAATGGCTTCATTCGCCTTACACTTTAGCCACCCTATTCAGGGTGCGATGAAATGCGTGCATACTCTTGTCTGAAAGTTCAAGTTATCAATTTCTAGGATAGTTTATCAGTGACAAAAGAGTACTCCCAAATGTAATATATCCCCAGGAAAGAAAGAGAAGACCATGCATTCATAGCTCTTGCAATGTTGTTAACCACGGCCTTCCTTTCATGGACAATCATTTTAGGATATTATCTACTTTGACCAAAGTTATATTAAAGGGCTAAAGAGAAAAAAAGGATTTTAGATTTAACATCAGATCCACAACTTCAACCATGCACGTTAAAGATTTTTCTCTATTAGAGTTTTCTAGGTATATATATGGGCAATAAAAGCATCTAAGAGGGAAATTTCATCACTGTATATTAGAGCAGTTATGGTAGATAAATCACTAGCTGTATAAATAATGTAGCATATATCAAGCACTAATTAATATACAAAATTTTATGACCTTTTCCACAGGCCTAAAGTTTTTCGTTAATTGCTTACCAACGGGCTGCTTGTGTGTAGCGCTCGCCAAGAAACTTATACCATAATGGCTTTTAAAACATATACTTACATAAATGGGCACGGAATACCTATTTTCTATTTCTTGTCTTAACCTTAGATGCATGCATTGATTCATGAAACCATGCTTCAATTCATATATATATATATATATATAATATTATTTGAAAATGAGAGTTCATAGAACCTAACAAGCAGGAACATATAGTAGATATCCAGTTTAGAGCAAGCTATAGAATGAAAAAGAGAGGGATAATAGGAGTTTGGCCTTGTTAAAGCAATAATCTGGAACCTTTCTTTGATAAAGCAACAATCTTGGACTTTCACATATTGTAAGAGCTTTCTAAGCTAGAAGTAATAAGTATTATGTAAACAAGTGGAGCTGTATTAATTAACTCACCAAACATCATCGGCGTCCCTAGTTTGACATATGTTGGGGACTTGGTACTGCAGGATTTAGCATAAACATTTTTCCTCCAGATAGCTAAATCACCTTTTGCATATTTCTTCTCTCAGCAAGCTGAAGCTCGGTAATTAGCTCTTCATTTCTCTTCTGCTCAGGCTGCTTGGTCCTGTTCGAGTCCATTATCCAGAAATCTATCAACTTCCATCATGTACATACCACCATCTGTACATAGAAATTAGAAGCTATAAAACCTATCATCAGAGGAAGTCTTCCTCTACTGATCTAGGGTCACACTATATCTTATCCTTTCCCGACGATGATCTGCAACACCAAATGTTCTTTCTCATATTGGGATGTTCCAATGGAATTGTGTTTTCAATTTTCCAGAGGTATATATTAATAGTAGAGCTTCTGGTGCTCCTTACACCAACGAGACACTTGATGCCAACACCAACGTCAACTTTAAAAGCTTTTATGAAGTGCTTAGTTGTTATTTGTTCATATGTTTATTACTCTTATTAGTGCTATATATCTTCCTAAATGGTTACTTCTACTTTTACATTTATTTGCCAAATCAAGTAGAGTTCCCATGTCCTCACTGTATGTTTATGTGTTTGATACATGATTAAAACTTAAAAGAGATATAAAACTAAAAAGGCCTGCATGCAAGGCGGGTTTCTGAAGTCCTAAATTAAGTAAACAAATATTTTCCCTCTAAAAGCTTTAACCTTTTACAAGAGAATAAACTCACACTTCAATAAGTTACATATTCTGATAGATATTTTTTATAAGCACTTCATTATTTGAATGTATCACAACATAATCAAACTTGCACTTTTGTGAAAATACTTAAACTTGCTGTAATCCTGAGATACTGTCAAAGATGGCAACATTTTTGTCAATAATAGTATATTTTTTTGGATGAAACATGCATGCAGCATAACAAATAAAAATCAAAATCCTCAAATTAGCATTACCAGTTTCTTTTCATGAGTTAGCTGATTAATTTTTGTATGTGTCAAACCGTCCCAAGCACGGATAAAGGAGTAATTAAGGCCATGGTCCGGAGTGGACAATGCCAGCAACATATCTTGTTTAATCATCTAAACAATAACAAACACAGTATCTTGACCTTCCACAATGAAGCTACACATTTATCTACAAGCGAATCGAATCAATGTCCGACTTTGCACTAAAATTAGAATGCTTTCATGAGTTCTGTTGTTGTGTCGGCAGCAACGTAACAGGACTGCTTTTCCAGTCTTTGAAGCTCATACTAGTAATATAGCTGTAAAATATCACTCTTTTTTCACTTCACTTCATGACCAGTACAACAACTATATTGAAAGGAACATTCACAATGAATTCAAGATTTCAAACAAGAAATCACGAAAGACTACATCACCAAAATTCTGAGAGAAAACAGAAGGAAGAATTAGGAAAAAAGGCAAATTGATCAAAAGGGTCTTTCACTAGAACACAACTGCATAAAGTAATTAGTAGAAGCAAAAAATCAATTTGCCGTTAGATAGCTTGGTTTCGGAAGCAAGGCTTCCAAAGGTAACAATAAGAATAACGTTAGATAGAAATAAATAAAGTATTATTGAGCTTAGAATAATGTGTAGCATAAGTTTGTCAGATTTTTCCGTGTCTTATAATGGCCGTTGAAGTCCATATTTATAGCTATACCTAGGGAACAAGGTCCTAGTATCAAGTCTCTCTTAAATGACAATAATGAGGGTCATTGATGAATATGTAATAGCAGGTTATGAATGCCGAAATTCTCTATAACGAATGTGTATTTAATACTTAGGAAGATTCTTCATTGAATGTAATCTAGTGGTAAATGTTTGTTTGCCCTCGTTGATAATGTTCCCTTCGGGGTCTATCCGATGCCAACCGAAGTTGTTGTTCTTGGTTGATAAGTGCGGATTTTGACTATTTATTAATACCTTTTTACTTTTGTTTTAGTCTGAAAGTATTGATTTATGTTTTCAAAACTAATGAAAGTGTACAAATTGCAGGAATGTTGGAAATTTGGGCTCTTATGAAGAAATCCGACTCAAAAAGGAGTGTTCCGACTCACAAGGCAAGAAGGGGCGCATCATACAAGATGTGCGATCCGCAGAGGTCTATCTGCGGCCGCAGAAGCAAGTGCGGACCAAAGAATTCCCTCTGCGACCGCAAAATCAGTGAAGAAGCCCAGCAGGCTTTAAGCAGAAGTGCAGACCACACATGAATTGTGCGACCGCAGATCATGGTCCGCACTGACAAAAGTTCAACAAGTTCAGAGAGCGTGCAAATGACTAAGACTACAGCCTTGCGTGAAGTGCGAACATCACAAGAATTCTGCGGCTTGCTGCCGCAGACCAAATTGTGAGGCTGTAAAATCCGAGTTTCTGCAAGCTGAAGCAATGTGCGGACCCAAATGGAATTGTGCGGCCGCAGAACATCCCGAGGGGTATTATTGTCAGTGAATTTTGGCCACTATAAATAGACGGGAATCACATTTTTAGGTCATGTTTTGAAGTTCAAGCAGTTGTAGCCGTTATAGTTTTCCATTTTAGGAAATTTGTGGTCATTTTGGGATTAAAACATCATAATTTATCAATTTAATCTTACATTATGAGTTTAATTAGTATTTATTCTTTGTTTTCATCATTTTCTACTATGAGTAGCTAGACTTTACTAGGGTTCGGTCCCAACCCTTGTGTGTAAACCTTATGGATATTTAATTTAATGCTTGTTTATGATTGGGTGTTGATTATTTAACCTTGTTTATGCTTTAATTTTTGAATTAATGGTTGCAAATATTGATTCATGCCTTTTTGACTTGGTAGAAAGAGTGACCTAGTCTAGGAAAACTTGGCTAACAAGAAATTCGGCTAATTAAGGATTTGATTAGCCTAACTAAAGAGTTTGAACTAGATAGGGAAAACCCGACTTGAGCCCATATTAACTATTTAACTTGATACCCATTTGGGCTTGAGAAAGCCAAATTGGGCAAAATCACTCTATGACCGAGAGGTATTGAGTGGGTAACTTAGATTTGAGAGCTATAATACACCCCGATCAATAAAACTAGTGTTAACGTACTTAATTCATTAAGCGAACACCTAAGTGAAAGTCACATCCCTAGGCTTTTTAACCATTTGGTAAAAATAACAAAAATAATCATTCGCTTTCTAGTTTCTATAATTGATAGTGATAATTTAGAAGTAGAAAATAAAATCCTTTGTTTGGAAGTGCAATTAGTTATTTCATTTTCTCTCATCAAATATATACCCTAACACCCAAATTAAACTCCCAATGGAAATCGACCCCTACTATTAAGTGCGGATTGGACGTGGATCAATTTTTGGCACCGTTTTTAGGGAGTTAAAACGGTATTAGCTATATATTTGAGTGTGTTTTTGGAATATCTTCTTTCCTTTATGTGTTACTAACTTTGTTAAGAAATTATAGGTTCAAACATAGCGAACAATGATCTTGAAAATTTGCCTTTGGGGAAATTGGACGGCGAGGATGAACATGTAGAGGAGGTAACTCTTGAGCCACAAGCCAATCAGAGAGGTCGGGTAAATCATGAAAATGTGCCTGCTCCACCCCCGCCTCCACACCGGGTGTTACCCAACGAAGGTTATGCGAGTGCAATAGTCCTTCCTTGTATTAGGGCAGGCAACTTCCAAATCAACAATGTGATGCTCACTTTGCTTGAGTAACGGGGTCTCTTTACCGGTACTCAGACTCTGCTTATAAACATTTGAAGGATTTTGTAGATACATATTGGGGATAAAGCAAACTAATATTTCTGAGGATGCATTGAGGCTAA